CTTCCAATTCTTATTGTCTTTGTTGTTAAGTTATATCATGTAGATAAACTTGAACATTTGTTTGTAGTAGAAACACTTGGCACATGAATTGTTCATGTCGTAGAGGTGGCATGCGTCACGTGGTTTCATCTGCCGGAGTGATGTGACGTAAAGTCTTTTTCGGAGCACCCTAATTCCATGCAGTGAAGTTTTGATGTTTTCCCAGCATTTGTCCACCATGGTTGTGTCTTCTTCCCATTTTAGTTGGCTTAAATAATGCTGCCCTGAATTAGTCAACCCCTTGCATAGTAAAATAATGGCATAGAGGTATACAGCTTCCTTGTGACCCGCATCAGCTGCAACTGAGAAATGATAGAGACCTGTGAACTTGTCGTTGTGGACAAAGTATTCTAGTATACCTTCGATGTAGTGGGCATATGGATTGTTGTTAGCTAACCATTTGTCCATCAATTTCTGGTAGCTGCTGGATGCCAACGGTCTCTTCACTAATGGGGCAAGATTGAGTCTCTTACGCATACGCTTGTCAGGTGCGGAAGCTGCTAGTTCCTTGCATGAGAGTATAAAGTTGACGTAATCTTGTGGTGAATCAGCTCCAACTCTGGCAACTATTTCACCAATCAAATCTTGAAGGAGGGACTCCAAGAGACTGACATGGGTTTTGTTCGGATCCATTTTCGTTTGATGAGTGTTTTTGGTCTGTGAGTGTTCTTTGTGAGACTTGTGCTATGGTCTATTATTTATATAGGCGGTGGACATTTAATTTTGGACTATCATACTTCTAAAACAGTTGATTAATTGTATATAATATATGATTTTAGTTAAAGAGATATTTTTTTTTTTGTAACAGTCGCGTGCTTATTATTATAATAATTATTTTGAGAGACATCGTGGTTAGTGGGTCATTTACTCCGTGAGTTTTACGTTGAGATCAATGTGGTCTATGTTACGTGGTTATAGTGGTGTAAGATAATATGTATAAATCGTATGTGGTAGTTTTAAACTATCTGCCATGTTAATTTGGACTCACCAGTAGACTTATAAAGGAGGAGTGTGATTTATAATATTTAGGGCCATATTGACGTGCCTAATCATATGGGCCGTTATCTGTGATCCTATTAACGATGCTAACTAATATGCCAAATATTGATGATAATTAATCCAGGGGAAAAAATGTATAAGATAATATGTAGTGCTGGTCTACGATAATATGTATAAATCTTATTTCAGGATTTTATACCTGCAATGTTAATTTGGACTCATAAGTATAGTTTTATTAAGGACTGTGGTTCATAATAGTTAGACCCGAATTGAATATTTCTGTGGGCCTAATGATATGGGCCGTTATCTGCGACTCTATTTACGATGTAAACTAATCTGACAACTGTTGCTATTTTTTTTATAAACTCACGATCTAGGAAGAGATAAGAAATCGTTAACCCAACTTTTTAACCAAATTGCTATTTTTCCACTTCTTGCTAACCAAGCCATTTTGATTTTATTTGTCTGTAGCCCTTTGTTTCAATAATCGAGTTTGCAATGGGGTTGCATATTTTTTACTTGTAGGATTTGAATTTTAAAACGAATGTTGGACAATCACATAGAACTAATCATGATTTTGGACTTTTGAAGGTAATTTTTCATATTTTAATTGCAGATGTTAAATAGATGAGAAGATAATACTTTCGTAGATTAGTGACATGAGTGTAGTATAATATGTATACTAACGTAGATTATAAAATGCATAAGACTATGCAACCGTTAAAAACTGGTAATATATATGTTAATTAAATAAATTAGGACTTTGGTAAGGAGATTATAAAGTTCTCTGCGTAAACCCGGTTTTCTTGGCTGGTCGGTTTAAGTATTTGTGAAATTCTTCATTGTGGAGGTGGTTATAAGTAATAAGACATACAGGCAAAATTGTAAATCGTTCACAAATTTGTGTGTTTTGAAAGAAACATATATGTTTAATTAACATAAATTTCCGACCAAAAATTTAATAAATGACTTGTTGTAATAGTGCTGGTAATTAAATAACCGTCCAATTCCCCTTTATTGTAAAATCCAAAATGTGCTGTGTGTAAAAACACTTGCATAATAGAAAGAAAACTTAACGTACTCGAAAGGAAAACAGAAAGTTCAAAGTGTGCTCATAGTACAAGCACTTTTTTTTGCATAAAACGGAGGAAAATGACAGCAGAATTACGAACTACTGCTGTTGGGAATGACGGAGCCGCCTTGGATATTGTAGCACTACTCACGGGGGCGTTTACGATTCTTGTCTTTCTGACACAGGTTCCCCACGCCGGAGCTTGGTGCTGGGTCCAAATTCATGTCCAGGTGAGGCGTGTCAACCACGACAGCCTGCGAAGTTGTTGGCACATCCGTATTGTTCTCGGTTGTGGGGGTTGGAGAGTTCCCTTCATCCTGAAATGCATATATAATGATTTAGGTTTCTTGATTACTTGATAAAAGTACGCTTAATATTTTGTTTTTAGGTACCTCTGAGTCAGCTCCAATTGTGGTATCTTCTGTAATTCTTGACACAGTGAAAGTTCGATGGTTGAGAGTGAAGTTGAATGGTGTGACTCGTATCTGGAAAACAAATTGCTTCCCAGCGAGGGCTTGAAGACAGGTTGGTAATTCAGTACCATTAGTGTCAGGACCCTAACATTGGGCAGTGGCGCAGTTAGTATTATCATTGTAAGATAGTCTTATGTTGCTGTCTTTAGGTCATTACTAACCTGCTCAAGTGTGAGAGTGGCCGCATTTTTGTTCGTAAGCTTAGTCATTTCGCTGTCAAATACGACAAATGTGGCTGGGTAGTGACCATCATGGACATCAAGTTCAACACGGTACCTGTTGGAGAAAGGATTAAAATACGTTATCAATATTGTGTGGTTATACTATATATGAGTTTGTAGACATGGATTTCTCATAGTTACGGCTGAGATGATGGGAAATTGTTTGAGCAATGTTTGACCATGCGATTATTATACCTGAGAATGCCAGTTGCATTTGGTGTAACACATTTGTTGCTGCGTAGAGCTGTCCCACGTTTGTCCAACTTTCTGCTACACCCACCACATGAGACATATGACCAACCACTTCGTTGCAGCACGCCAACAACACGGGCTTTACAGAGGAAATCAGCTTCTTGAGTCTGTTAGGAAGTTGAGGAGGTTAGTTTAGGATTTTGATTAGTTATTTAAAGGAGTTTTATTGTATTGTATAGAAGGTTTTTTGGAATTCTTGTTACATGTTCATTCGTCTGGGATAGGTAAGTGTACAGGTCTGCAATATAATTGTAACGCCCGTGAACCAAAAATGTGATTTTTGGTTGTGTGTCGATTGACACGTGTGTTTA